AGATACGAAATGCAGGCAGCAAACGCAGGCAGCCATGCCAGGCCTTCCTCCCGCTGTCAGTGAATTTGTGGGCCCAAGTAAGAGGCAGTGCTTTCCAGCAAAAGCAGTTTAAGTAATTGTTATATTATAATCACAACCCTCAAGAGGCTGAGGCAGCAGGATTGTGAGTTCAAGGCCAGCCTGAGCTGTGTAGCAAGGCTCTGTCTCAAAAAGATAAAAAGGGTGTATGAAAACATCAATTTACCTTTCTAATTGGACTTTGTCTTGGGAGAGACAGCAGGGTGGGATAGGCTTTTGTGTTCTAGCATGCCTGGCCCTGCCCATTTCATGAAATGCAGCCTCTCTGCTTACTCTACCAGAACTTTTCTTGTGTGGGACGTACACTTCGTCTGAAGACCAACCTGCTGCAGAGAGTGCCTTTGTTGGTGTGTTGAGTCGTGACACCAGGAAGTTGTCTAGGTTGTTTCCCTGTTCCCTTCCACCGCTCCTCTCCCTGTAGCCCATTTTCCTCAAAGTAGGGGCATCTGGTGCTGAGCCCATCTGGGCCCATATTCAGGGCTAAGGGGTGCCTGTTCTGGGATTTCTGGATCTTGCTGTGCTTCTAAGCAGCCCTGCACTTTTCCAGGTGGACCTCTGCATAGGGATCTTCTCTAGGGGCCACTCCTTCACCTCCTGGGATGACCCGTCTCTGGGCAGAGCATCTCACCTGGGAAGCCCCTGCATTTTAAGGGCACTTGTGCCCCTCAGCCCCCTAGCTCTGTGTAATAACGCTTTGTGAGCTTCAGTGTGTGTGCTGGACACTTGCAAGTGCTGTGGGGGCGGTGAGAAGAGAAAACACCACCCCTGGCCGTGAAAGAGGTCTAATGCTTCAGAAGCTGCCAGAACCCGGTTGGGGAACTCAGCTGGGGAACAGGAAAGCATCAGGGTCTTTGTGTGGTCTGAGTGCTGGGCAGTTTTGGGTGGGTGCGACGTGGCATTGGTAAGGACAGGGACACTGTAGCATTTATGCTCACATCCTTTGGTGACTTGACTCCATTTAGCTTCTGTTCCTACTTCTGTTTGAAATCCAAGTTCTGAAGAATCCTAGATGTGACATTTTGGTGGCAAGGCACTTAAAGTATGCATTGCAAAAGGCAGCAGTGACTGGGGAAGGGAGAGGTGGAAGTAGAAGCCTTCTGTGTACCAGGCAGCATAATAACCCTGTGGTTTGGTGATGCAAACCCCAAGATGGGAGCCTGAGACTCAGCCAGCTGTAAGAATGTGCTTGGGAGGAGAGGACCAGGGCTCAGATCCAAGTCACCCATGCCCAGCTTCCTCTACTCCCCTCACTGCAGTGTCACCTGGAGCCACCTGCAGCCCTTCCAGACCAACATTGGCCCTCATGGGCCCTCTTACCTTGGGCTGCAGCTCCTAGCATGTCCTCAGGCAGATACCTCAGCCTAGATCAGAAGGAGCCTGAGAGCTTGGGTCAATCAGCCTGGATCCAGCTGGCCAAGGTCCTCCCTGGAAACATAGGCAGGGAGACTCTTGGTCCCTGCCCTCTGTGTGGAGTAAGAGTCAGAAAATGTTCCTGACCTGGCTCTTCTCCTTCCGGGGCTCTGGCTAAAGCAAATCATGATTTTGGTAATACAGATTTACAAGCGATGTCCCACCAGAGCTGTTTGTTACAGTGAATAATTGGAAGTGACCTGTATCCCTAGGCAAAGAAAGTGGGGGCTGAGTGCTTCTTAATCGTGTGACTGACATCGCACACACCGTGTGCCAAAATCAGGATAGCAGGAAGAATTTCAGAGCTTGAGGGGGCAGAGGCTGGTGAATGGATGGGGCCTTGTCTGCAGGGCCACTCGTGATCAGGGCCATGCAATTGGGGAACAGTGGTGTCCTCCCTGGGTCCTCTCCCCACCTCTCTGTCTCATCACTGTCCAGCCCAGCTGTGGTTCCTGCCAAGCTTTTCCTGGTGTCTGAGTAGTAAGCTGTCCCCTGGCTGATGAGACAATTCAAGCTCTAGGAGAGTGGGCCAGCCCTGGGCAACTTCAGCTGATCCCCTTGGACGCAGCTCCCAGACAGTTCTGTTTTGTGAGTTCCAGCCCTGGAACTCACTGCTCAGAACATTTGAACTACATTCCAGGGACATTCCAAGTTTCCAGGCTGACCAAAGGGCTTAACATCTAATTGTCCTGCTGAGAATAAGGTTCAGAGTCCCATGACCTCCCACAGCAGTCATTTCCAAACGCATTGGATTCCTTTCTGTAGCTCAGGGCGCAAAGCTCCCGCCCTGCAGAGTGGCCACGGGCCACTTGCTCACCTGCATTTGCCCTTCTGAGTCTGGGGTGGGGAGGGGCTGCGGCTCTTCTCTGGAGGATTCCACACCCCAGGACCAGCCATGGCTCCCCCTTCTCGTGGGCTAGTTCCTGTTTATCATCTAACACATAATCCAGCCACTGTTTATGGAGTGCTTAGTATGTGTTTGGAAATTCTTACACCTTGTCCACCTCCTCACCAGCTCTGCGGGGGTCTTGTGAGCCCCATCTTACTGATGAGGAAGCTGCGACTTGGGTGAAGTGTCTTGGCCAGGGTCACAGAGAGAAGGTGCTGGAGCTGGTACTGGAGTCCGGGTCTGCTTGACTCCTAAGCTTCTGCTGTTTCTACTCAACTTTGTGTACTGGCTTTTTTTTTTTTTTTTTTGTGGGCCTCATGCGTGCCAGGCAAGCACTGTACCTCTTGAGCCTCCCTACCAGCCCTTTTATGCTTTAGTTATTCAGACCATGGTCCTCCTCCCTATGCCTCCCACACATATCTGGGACCACAAGTGCCACCACACCAAACTTGTTGGTTGCAATAGAATCTCACTGACATTTTTGCGCAGGCTGGCCTCAAACCATGATCCTCCCAATTTTCTTCTCCCAAGTAGCTGGGATTATAGGTGTGAGCCACTATGCCTGGCTGGTTTTTGTTGTTTTTTGAGACGGTCTCAAGCTGCCCTTGAACTCACTATGTAGTCCATCTTCCTGCCTCAGTCTCCCAACTGCCATGTACCAGCTTTTGGGCCGAGGTTTGAGAGGACAAGACACTAACCCCACTCAGGACCTCTGTGGTTGGACGGGTGAGGCAGACAGACAGAACATTAGATTGGCGAGATTGGTGCTGGACATAGTGTGGTGAGGTAGGAACACAGGCTGCTGGGGGAGGTGGCCACCAGGGAGGGGAGGGGCCGGGACTGATGAGGGGCTTGGAAAAGACTTGAGGTTGAGGCTGCAGACAGGGGCTGAGGAGCTGGACTGAGGGGTGAAGTGGCACTGGTTAGGGTGTGGGGATGCCCTGCATGGGGAGAGCAGACTTGGTGTTAGGCCACTGGGTCAGTCATGTCACCATAACCTAGAGGCTGAGCCGCAGTCTCTTATCTAGAACAGATAAGATCCTGCATTTTGTGAATTACCTTCTTAAAAAATCAGTTAAAGCAAGCATAAAGGAATGAGTGAGTGACAGAATGGAGGGGTGGGAGTACTTACGGTCATCCCCGTGAGAATGTGCCTCTCACTCATGTCAACTTTCACTCTTTGATGCTGAGAAGCCTGGGGCTCTGGATGATGTGATCTGAGCTCCAGCCCATAATAAATTTTCTGTGATCACCAAACAGCATCATCGCGGACTGTGGAGAGAGGACAGTAAAATGGGGATGGGCTGAGGGAACTGAGTCACAGCAGACCGGCAGGCCCTGTGGTAGGACAGACTATCACCTTTAGCCATCCTGGAGACTGCAGGAGTGGGATGGGCACCTCTTGCACTGCAGAAAGCATCTCAGAGTTGCCTAGAAGCCTTAGGGAAAAGGGAAAGCCCTAAAGTAGTCATTGGAAGATTTGGTTCAAGGCAAAGTCCCCCCACTTTCCTGGCCACATGAAATAGCCCAGCCTTACCTCAGCTCATCTGTGAACTGACCACACCCATCAGGAATGGTTCAGGAAGGTTATTCCCTTCTCTTTCTGAGGGGTGGTTTAGGAAGCCTCTGCTTCACCCAAGAGCAAGCCTCCCTGTAATGCCACGCTGAGGGCCACAAACAATGCTGCCAAGTCTGAAGGGACTTACCCATGGGGCACTGGAGAGCCATCAGTCAGTGAGCACGTTGTTTCTCAAAGCCAGTTCTCCTAGGGCGGAGAGGTGACCTTCTGTCCCAGCTGCTCAGGCTGTTGGTGCTGCTGCTTCTTGGCCTGCAAGCCCCTTACGCTGAGAGCTAGGTGTGTGGCAACTTGGGACCTGCTGTGCCTCCCTGGGACATGGTGGGGTTTTCCCCTTCCCATGAGCCGTGGGGTGCAGCCTGAAGTGAGGCCACGGGCCTAGGCTCTCAGGGTCTGGCCCAGTTGTTCAGTGACATGGCCATACTCTGCCTAGCCAGCGCCACCCTTGCCTACCTCCTGTGGCCTCCATTTCTGCAGAAGAGGGCCTGTGGCACTAAGGGCAGAAGCCATCACCAGCCTTGTATTCTGAGGCCTGAAGCCCTCTGATAAGTTTCTACACAGACCAGGGAGAGCTGGATATGGGTCCCAGGTGCTAGTCCAGATGTGGGCCACAACACCCTACCAGCCTTTGCCTTTTGAGACCCCCATTTCCAGTCTCCGTCCTGGAGGAGCCAGGCTGATGTGCCCTGGTCACTCCCTGGCCTCCGGGCTGGCTGGTGCCTGGCTGTGCCTCTGTAGACCCCACCTTGCTTGTCCCCTGGGTAGTGTAGGTAGGAATGTTACCACTGTGCTTTGGTCTTGGTGCTGAGCTGGCCTGTCAGAGCTGGGCTCAGGCCTTTCTGGGAGGACTGGGGCACATGCTCTCAGTCAGGAGCCAGCAGAATTGTCAGTGCTGGTTTGCAAAGTGACTGAAGGATGTATGGTTTGTGTTCACTGGTCTGATGTTCTAGTCAGGGCCCTAAGAAGCAGATGTCCCAAGGGTGTGGCTGTTGGGGACACATGCACAATGAGTGTTGAGTGCCATCAACTTGTTCTCTTCTCCTGCAGTGGATGCAGATGTCTCCTTGGAAGCTTGCTGTGTAGACGGAAGTCAAATGGCCACTCAGCACAAGGACTGCTCACTGCCTTACACCTCGGAATCCAGAGAATGCAGGTATGTCTGTCAGTGGCCACTGTGTGGCCAGAACATATTCCTTTAAAGGAAGATGGGAGAGGAATGGACAGTGTGACCCTGGGCGAGGCTGGGCACACCCAGACCCACTCCCTCCATCTCCTGTTCCTTCCTGTGCTCTCCCAAGGTCCTGGAACAGGACTCAGCTCACTGTTCTGGGCCACCCTGTGCTTGTCAGGGCATCTGTCCCCTTCACTGGGCTGGAAATAAGATCTGGGTTTGTAGTTCTGTCTGCCCCAGCTGGGCGGCTGTGGACAAGTTAGCCTCCTCCTAAGAACAAGAGGCTGGTTGTGGGGCTCAGATGAGATCATGTGCCTGCAGATGCTTTGCAGGTAGACCACCTACAGACCCTGAAAACTCAGATGAGCCAGGTCCATAAACAGGAACCCCCCAGATGGTGGTTCACCTGACATAATGGCCAGCATCTGGATTGACTCTTCTGTCTCTAAATTGACTTAAGCACCCCAGCATCACCTTAGAATAGATGATGACAGTAGGCAATGATGAGCATCATAAAATAATAGAAAGCTTTGTGAGCCTTGTACCACGCACTGTGCATTCGACACCACGATTTTATTTCACTTGTTGAGTGATCCTGCTTTATAGATGAAGAAACTGGGCTTTCCCCATTTGCAGAGCTGCTGGGCAGTGATTTGACCCCAGGATTTGAACCCATACCTGCCAGCCAGGGAGCAGAAGTCAGGGGGTGAGGGTAGGAAAGCATCCCAGCATTCTACCCCTCTACTTGGCACTGCGGACACTGAGTGGGGACAGCTGTCAGCGAGGTGGTGCCGGGAAGTTTCTTCTGCCTTACACGTAGGTTTGCATTTGGCCTTGAGCAGCAAAACCGCCTACCAGCGGTGACAGTGAATTCTGACTGAGGAAACTCTTAGAGTCAAAAGCATTGTTGAGCAAGCAAAGGAAGAGAAAACAGGAAACCCGGATTGTCTGGGTTGACCGGAAGGCTACACAGTCAGGACTGTGGAGCATCCGACGAGTGTGAGCTGTGATTTTTGGCTCGTGGTACAGCTTAGCGCTGCAAATGTCGAGGAGCTGCGGGCAGCTCTGTGGTGAGGGCAGGCCGTTTGTACCGAGCATTCTGTTTACAGACCACAATGGTGAGAGGCAGCCTGGCCCCAGGAAGGACAAGGGCTTGGGAGGTGGGACCTGAGCCATCTTGGGTCCTCAGTTTCCCCCAGTGTGCAATGGGGACCATGATACTTCCCTTTCAGGGCTGCTAAAGTGACAGTCGATGGTGTACAGAACCAGCAGCATGAAGCCACACACCGGAGTGTGTCAGTCTGCTTGGCCTGCCAAAACAATACCACACATTGGGCAGGGAGGCTCAGATAGCAGAAATGTGTCTCCTCACCGTTCTAGAGGCTTGACCAAGGGCAGGTGTGTAGGGCTGGCCTCTCTTGAAGCCTTTCTCCATGACTGTTGGATACCACCTTCTCTCTGTGTCCCGACATGATTGTCCCTCCGTGTGTATCTCTGTTCCAATTCTCTCTTCTTACATACATACCAGTCTTAAATAATAAATAAATACCTGACCTCATTGTACCCTAGTGTCCTCTTTAAAGACCCTGTTTCCAAATACAGTTACACACTGAGGTCCTAGAGGGGGACAGAGTACAGCCACTGTTACGAAAACTTGTTGAAATTAACAACATAGAAAGTGAGGGCTGAATGCTGGGCGCTGGTGGCTCACGCCTGTATACTAGCTACTCAGGAGGCAGAGATCAGGAGGATCATGGTTCAAAGCCAGCTGGGGCAAATAGTTCGCAAGACCCAATCTCGAAAAAAACCACTAAAAACATCACTAAAAAAAGGGTTGGTAAGGTAGCTCAAGATGTAGGCTCTGAGTTCAAACCCCAATACCACAAAAAAAAAAAAAAAAAAAGAAAGTGAGGGATGGGCTTATTGACCCCCAGTGTGCAGATGGAGAAACTGAGGCCACAGATTTAGTGGCAATCTGGGTGCTGCTTGTGAATTTGAATTTTAGTTCCTACTGCCTTCATTCATGACTTCTACTAAATGTGTTTGATGGGTTTTGGCGTTATCTTTGATCACAGCGGGTCCCAGAGACTTGAAAATACTTTCTTATCTGTTATTATACTAGGCATTTGTTTTCCAAGGAGCGTCTTCTGTCTTTATGGGAGATGTGGCCGCAAGTCCAGGCTCCTGTTTGATCTGCTGTGTGTTTCTGATGGTACTTGCTTCATCATGTGGGCTTTACGAAATTCTGGCTGGACCCTGTGAGTCAACAAATGGAGTGGCTGGCCCTTTGTTTCCTTCACTGAAGTCTACGGAGGCCAGTTTGCTTGATCTAGTGAATCCCAGGCAGGAGACTGAGCCCATGTCCAAGGCCTCAGCAAGTTAACCACTGAGCTGACTGACACTAACCATGGTCCTGCCCTGTTGCCCCAGGGTGCTGTCCCCTACCTCTGTCCCTGCCGTGCACATTTCCCTTTGGCCCGGTTCACATCAAGGTCTGAGCCTCACAATCTGCAAAAGACCAGAACTGAGCCTGTCCTGTGCTCCAGGTGAGATGGCGCTATATGAGAATTTCACAGGCAGGCATGGAGTGCCAATGTGGGATTCCAAGGTGACCAGGACCTCTTGCAGCACTTCCCCACCCCACACACTATAAGTCTGAGCCCCACAGTCAGAGCTGAGGATGAGGGAAGAGTGGGACCTGCTGGAGCGGGACCAGCAGAACTCTGGTGCCTGGTGATAGGGATTCTTATAAAGTCACTGTTGATCATTTTTGATGAAGGCAGGAAGAGAGAGCAGATCAGAAGTCCAATCTAACTTCCAAGAATCCTCTTCCTAGTGATGTTTACAAAATATAAGAGGTAGCTGGGCACCAGTGGCTCATGTCTATAATCCTAGCTACTTGGGAGGCAGAGATCAGGAGAATTGTGGCTTGAAGCCAGCCAGGGCAAATGGTTTGAGAGATCCTATCTCGGAAGAAACTTCACAAAAAAGAACTGGTGGAGTGGCTCAAGCAATAGAGCACCTGCCTGGGCAAGCGTGAGGCCCTAAGTTCAAACCCCAGTACAGCCAAAAAAAAATACAAGAGACAAGGACTGCTGACTACTCAAATGGTCTGTCCTTTTAGTGTCACTTTCCTCCTTTGAAGTGACATTCTGTGAGGCCCAGCCAAGGTAACACTCTAAGTTCACTTGACCAGTCTTTATTCATGCCTAAGAAACTCAGGAATAAAAGGCTGGGTGTGGCTTAGTGATATAGGGCTTGCCTAGCATATTTGAGGCCATGGGTTCAATCCCCAACACTGGAAAAAGAAGAGTAAAGCTCAGAGAGAGGAGGGATGAAATAGAAGGGCAGGCAGAGCCCCAGGCTGAGCCCTCCTGAGGAGGAATTGGGGATGGGAGACAACCTACAGTTCTGCAGGGGCCCAAAGGAGGTGGGGTCCTTTTGCAAGGACCATAGGGTGGAACCGACCCCTCCCTGCAAACGTGGGCTCCAGCTGAGCAGGGATTAAGCTCCTGGAGATTGCTTCACCATGTGGGGTGGTCAGGCAATAGCAGCTCTGATGTCTCCCTGCATTCTGGGCCCTGCCTCAGGATCTAAATCCAAATTTACCCGCAACCTTGGATCAGATTATACACCCGTGAGCCCTCAGCCTACTTCTGAGTAACTAGGATGCACAGAGCCAAAGCCTGCGGCAGGGTCTGAGCTGTTGTTTCCTGACAGCCCTCTGAGCCCCTCCTGTGTTTATTTCTTCAGTGAGGTTGAGGCACTGATGTGAGTGAGCTGGGGCTGAATCAGGGAACAAAATAGAGCCCCTGGCCTTGATGAGTGAATGCAGACCACAGATAAAATAAATCAGTGTTGTGATTTGTAAGAAGACAATATGGGCCATAGGGGGAGGGCCCAGAGAGAGTAGGGTCTTCTTGTCAGGGTGGGTTTACATGTTAGAACTGTTGGGGGTGCCTCGCTGATAAGGGCCATCTGAGCCAGACCCTGAAGGAGGACAGAGAGTGAGCAGTGAGGAAGGGGAAAAGAGCATCCAGGCAGAGGGGACAGCCGGCTTGGAGACTTAGAGGTGAGGCTGTGCAGATTGGCCAGGCAGTAGTGAGGGGCCAGGGTGCCTGGACAGTCAGGGAGGGCTGGGAGAGGACAAAGGTCAGAGGGAAACCAGGGTGGCTGAGGGTGCTGCAGGAGCCGATTGTCCCAGGCTGTGTGGCCATTGTAGAGGTGACCTGGAGTGGACTGAGAAATAGACGGAAGCTTTGAGTAGAGATGGGCGTGTGTGTGTCAGTCTGGACCTGCCTGTGTGGAAGGCGATCGGAAGGAGGGAGTGGAAGCCAAGGGACTAATTGACTGTCTCAGCAATCCAGGGGAAGATGTGGGTGGTCTAGAGCCCGGGAGAGCTGGGAGGTAGCTGAAAAGAGGCTGTTTGTGGATGGGACTTTGGTGCGGGGCCCCAGGTTGTCACTCCAGGGAGCAGAATGGGGTTTAGAAGTGGCGTCAAGGATGGTGTCCAGGTTTTTCTCTGAACAACTGAACAGATGGTTTGTCTGGATGAGAAGTGGGTGCTGCAGAGAGGAGGCTTGGGTGTGGGGGGAAAGGCTGGGGGAGAGGAGTCTGGTTCATTGAGTTTAAGGCACGCCTGAATATCCAAGGAGTCCTGGACAGGAGTGCAGGGGAGAGGGTGGGCTAGTGAGAACCAGGGAACATCAGCCTGGAGGTAGCATTTACAGCCCAGAGTCTGGGCAAATGGCTGGAGGGCAAGTGTGAGGCACAGACTGTAGAATGTGGGAACGGCAGATGGCACCGTAGAGGTCAGGTCCTTGCTGCCAGTGCAGCCTCTCCCTTAAGCCTCATTAGAGGGCAAGGCCCCTCACAAACCCACCAGGTGTGAAAGTGCATGGGGCATTCCAGCCAGGGAGAATGTCTGGGATAGGCAAGCTTAAATGACCAGTTTCACAAATCTTCCCCAAAATCGTTCCTGGAGACTGACTGGCTCTTTGGTTTTCAAACTGCATTCCGTGGAGCCTTTGTGATTCTTGGGAACCCTTGGTTTACCCAGAAGGGGCAGTGTAGCCTGGCAGCTCTGCTTCCTCTTTCTTCCCATGCCCCTGGAGTCAAGGTCCAGTACCTTAAACATGTTAGGGACCACCAATGCCCTCAAACCACCCAAGGTCACCCACCCAGGAAGTGAAGGCATATAAGAGATGGGCATCCAGGGCCTGGCCAGCTCCCTCTTGGCCATTGTCACACATGGTGCTCTGGCCTGACCTGTGACACACCCTTTGCCAAGACAGTAGCACTCCTGGGTCAGTCTCACAAAGGCGGGGATCTGCTGCTGGGGTGGAAAACTGTGCCTGTGGGCTTGTGGACCGCTGTGACACTGCCGGGCAGTGGGTAGTGGTGTTGCCTGACTGAGCAGAAAAGGAACCAGGGTCACCAAGGCAAAAGCATGGTCCCAGTTGGCTGGGTGGCAAAGGAAGAGCGGGGATTGGAGTGAGCTGTGCAGCCGCCCAGCAGGGCTTCCCCCGCTCATGGTGGAGTTTCTGATGCTGCTCCAGGAGGGCTGTGGGGAGGAGAAGGGTTTGTCTCCTCCCAGGCATTTGTTTGTACCCCTAGGGCCTCCACACACTAGCAAACAGTGGGGCTGCCATCAGTGCTTTTTAAAAATTGTGGTAATAAACATATAACATAAAATTCACTATTGTAATCACTTTTTAAGTATGCTTTTGCAGCATAAATTCCATACTTATTGTCATACAGCCATCACTGCCCTCCATCTCCAGAATACTTCATCTTGCAAAACTGAAACTATGATCCCATTAAACACTCACTCCCCAACCCTGTCCCCTCAGTCCCGGGCAGTCCCCAGTTCCCTAGGTTTTCTAGGGACCTTCATTATAGACTCACACAGGAGTCATCCTTCTGTGACTGGCTTGTTTCACTGAACACAGGCCCTGGGGGTTCACCCACATATGGCTCTGAATCCTGGGTCCTGGGTAGCAGCCCAGCCCCAGAGTCCTGGCCCAGCCTCCACTCTGCCCACAGGATGGCCCAGGAGCAGTGCTGCCATAGTCAGTTGGAGGAGTTGCACTGTGCCACCGGTATCAACCTGGCCAACGAGCAGGAGAACTGTGCCCTGCCACACAGTGGCAACACCAGCCACTTCGAGGCCATGTTCGTGAAGGTAAGTAGGGACCTGGGGTCTATGTGGGGACACTGCTGTTCTTGACAATCAAGCAGTACTGTCCATCTGCATTGTCTGCTCTGGTCCACCTTCCCCTGTGAGCATCAGGGATCCTGGTGTGGGAGAGCAGAGGCAACACTCGGTGTCCAGCCTCCTCTGGTTCTGTAGGTAACCCTGGGGGAATGGAGGACCAGAGACCATCCTTTCCCAGGCTTCAGACAGAGGCAGAGGTCAGAGCAGGGGTCATCTGGGCCCTTTAGAGTCTTCTCAGTCCAGGCTTGGCACTCCCATCCTGCCCTGGAGACTTGGAAGCTTCTCTTCTCCCCAGTGAGTTGGGGCTCAGAGCTCAGAATAGGCCTCTGATAATGCATGGCCTCTATAGCCACCCTAGAGGAAGAAACTGAAACTCAGAGACGCCCACACTTCACAGTGGCCTCTCAGCAGCACTGTCGAGGGCCCAGAGGGGTTCCTACCCTGAACATAAACTGAATAAATAGCAGAATCCCCTTCCCTGACTGCTCCTGGGACTCAAAGCCAAAGCCTGGTCCCTGAGGGCCATGGATGTGGAAGGTGTGCATTGCACCTGGCACAGGCGCCTGACAGCTTTCCAGATCTTAGCACCATAAACAGACCCAAACTGTCTTCCCTTACCACCTGCCAAGAGCACAACAAGCTGGAGCGGGAGTTGCCCCTGTCATCTGGCATCTACCAGAGGTGCTGTGCCAGTGTGTTCCCAGGTGACCCTTCCTGTTCCCACCAGGAGGGTAGTGGAGGGATTTCAGGGAGCAGGTACCCTTGCAGCCTGGGCTCCAGAGGGGTAGATGGCCCTTCTGGGCTGGGCTGGGGCTTTCCATGTGTCAGGGCAAATGCTGACCCCAGAACTCAGGTATGAGAACTCAGTTGTGACTTTTGGGAACCGGGGTCTTGGAGACAGGCAGTGACCCTGTCCCTCACCTCGAGGTTCTTGCTTTTTACTTGCTGCTTGAATCCCCAACTTGAGAGAGGCAAGACGAGAGTTCATTCATATTAGTCAGCGTAGTGGAGAAATCTGACCTGAGAAAGGAACTGACCCTCTGGGCTTTTGTGCACCCCTCTTCCTAGAGGTGGGTGAAGGGGGCCAGGGGTTGCTGGGCAGGGCAGGGATGGCAAGGGGGCAGTCCTGCAGCAGGGGCTGGGGGGGGCTGGAGCTCCCACAGGGCACCAGGCCCGGTAGGTTCTTTCTAAAATCCAGATCTAAGAGACTTGGGGGCCCAGGCTGCTTACTGCTGTCATGTAGACAAAGTCCCTAAGTTTGACATGTGTCCTTGCTGTCCAGGGTGCACAGACAAGGGGGTGTCAGAGAGGTGTCCCCGAGGCCCTGGGAGGGACGCCACTGAGCCACCTGTTGGCCCTCACCTGAGTCTCTGCTGTTTGCAGAGGTGCTGCCACTGCTGCCTGCTGGGGAGGGCAGCCCAGGCCCGGGGCCAGAGCTGCGAGCTCAGCCTCGTGGCCGGTTACCAATGTGGACTGGCGTTCCGTGCCTGCTGCGTCAAGGGCCGGGAGAGCGCAGATGTGGCCCCTGGGGACATCGGGGATCTCCATGAAAACGGTAACTCTCCCTCCCTCCCCTGGTGGGTAGTGTGCCAGTCCGGGTTCACCAGGATGTGTGTGTGCAAGCACGTACCGTGGCTCTCCCTACTCATGGGTGTCACATCCGTAGCGTCAACCAACCACAGATGGAAAATATCGAGGAAAAAAAATCGCATCTTTACTGAGCATGTGCAGACTATCCTTGTCATTATTCCCTAAAAGGTATAATACTATTTATGCAGCTAACGTCTATTTCTGTAGTACAGAGCATTTACCAGGTGTTCAAAGGAATCTGGAGGCGATTTAAAGTACCCTGGAGGATATGCATGGGCAATATGCAAAGAGTATAGCATTTTATATAAGGGGCTTGAGCATCTGTGGGTTTTGGTATCCTCAGGGGTCCTGGAAGCAATCCCAAGGATCCTGAAGGACAACTCTACGTACCTTTATTGTAAGGCGTTGACCTGTGTGATTGTGAGGCTGTATGTCCAAATTCTGCAGGGCCGGTCACTTGGCTGAAGACCCAGGGAAAAGCTGATATTGCAGCTGGGGTCAGAAGGCTGTGTGTGTGCTGGCAGAATTCCCTCTTCCTCAGTCTCTAGCTCTTAAGGCCTTCAACTGATTGGGTGAGGGCTACCCAAACTATGGAAAGCTTGACTCAAAGTCTACTGACTTAAATATTAATCTAACCCTAAGAAATACCTTCACAGCAACCTCCTGACTATTTTTTAGCAGATATCTGGGTACCTGGCTCAGTCCAGTTGCTACATGAAATTAACCATCACAGGCTGTGTGAATGTACCATTCCTGCTGCCTTAACCAAGCATGGGCCAAGTTATATTTGTTACCTCACCTGGGAATTGCTGTCCTGGAATGAGTCTGAGCACTGGGGATCTGGGATCAGACAAATGTGTGTTCACATCCTGGTGCTAACATAGACCCTGAGCCTCAGCTCCCTTGTCGGTGAAATGGGAATCCTTGCAGCCCTGCTTCCCAGGCTGCTGGAAGGTAGGAGTAGAAAATGGGTCCTGCCTGTTTGGCAGCAGCTGGGCAGCTAACTCCATGGGCTCATCCCTCTTTCAAGTTACAGCCACTTCTTCAGCAGAGGGGCTAACCCCAGGAGCAGCTTCGAAAATCTCCCCGTTGCTGTCTTCTCCCTCCAGGTCCACAGCCAAATAGGCCTGAAGCCTGGGGCATGGCTCGAGAGACTTCCTGGGGCCTAATAATCCCTCACTTACCAGCAGGTTCTTATGCTACAGTGGAAAACCCTAGAAAGAGGCAGGAGGCTTGGTCCATTCCTCCACCCTCTGAGCTTTGTCCCCTTTCTGTCAAGAAGGGGTCAGCTCTCTAAAGTCAGGCCATCCATCCATGGCTTTATGACTGCCATGCCTTTGGGTCCTGGGTCAGATGGGCCCACCTTCCATGATTTGGTTTTAACTTTTGAAGTCCAGGCCCATAGGATGCCACTGAGCTGATGCAGACATCACAGTTCAAGTGGGGATCGGGACCCATTATTGCTCTCTCCTTGGCTTTTTTTTTTTGGTGGTACTGGGGTTTGAACTCAGTGCTTTGTGCTTGCTGGACAGGCACTCTACCCCTTGAGCCACACTCTCAGCCCTTTTCTTTTAGTTATTTTTTGGGTTGGGTTGCAGTTTTGCATGGACCAGTCTGGATCATGATCCTTCTACCTTTGCTTCCAGTGTAACTGGGACCACAGGTGTGTCCCATCAGGGCAGTCTTATTTGTTCAGCTGGGGTCTCCCCAGTTTTTTGCCCAGGCTGGTCTCAAACCATGATCCTCCCAATCTCTCCATCCTGAGTAGCTGGGATTACAAGTTTGAGCCACTACACCTGGCCTTTCCCATCTTTTATCTGCTTTGATTCCTGCCCCAGACTTTCTTCTAGGGCCTCCTCCTTTGTGAGGACTTGCTTCTTAGCTGGTCATGGTTGCCTTTCCTCTCTTTTGACATTTATGTTGGGCCTTCTGTGTCCAGCCTGGGACCAATGCAAACTGATGCAGTCTAGCAAAATAAGTATCGAAGTTGAGAGGAATCCCTGAGAAAGTACGTGAGCTTTCTGTGAAGCCTGTGGGGTGGTGTTCACCCCACATCGGGCCCCATGCCTGATACTGACAAGAAAAGAAAATGAGTGGGGTGAGATGATAAGATAAGGTGGGCCGCTGTTTGGATAACCTTGTCTGGGCCTCTCTTCCCCCTTAGCTAAGATTTCTGATGAGGAACAAGAAGACCCCTACCTGAATGACCGCTGCCGAGGTGAGACCCTGGGACCTCCTGAGAGCCAGCTGGTGGTTATGAAGCCCAGGAGAAAGTCAGGGCTGACCCTGGCCAGGTGTTGGCAGGAAGCCGCTTCTGCCTCTCAGCCCTCGTGGCCTCTATCTTTTCCCTCCCTTTGAGCTCCAGAACTGGGGGATGGTGGGAGGGTGGGCTCATGGAGACACAGCTGGTGTGAGAAACCTTCCCACCTGAGCATTACCAAGCTCACAGGCTCTGTGGATGGTGACCGCCATTCCCCCAGGCCCCCGGGGAGGGGGCTGAGCATTTCTGGCTTTTGTGTCCCTGGACCCCCAACCATCTTGCTGTCAAGAAGATTCATTTGTCTCACAAGGAGACTCAAAGTATGAAGAACTTTGCAGCTTTGTTTTTCCTGGGACAGAACCTTGTTCCTCCTTCGTGAACATTCTGGCATGTCTAGACGGGCAGGTCTGCTCCACAGGTTCACCCAGTGGCTTGTCCTGTGGTTGGGGTGTTAATTAGGGAACCAGCTTGATCTCAAAATGATGTGGTCAGTGTACAGTGAGAGTCAGCCTGGAGGGGAGAGGAAGGAGGGACAGACAGCCTGGGAATCATCTCTGGGTTGGGAGGAGGGTCTTCCTGGGAAAGGGGACTGCTGGCTTGCCCAGATGAGGATGGCTTAGTCAGGTTGATAATGTGAAGGGAGCAGAGCCCCAGCAGCCAGGTGCTGGTGGGAGCGGGAGGGCATAGAGGGATAGGAGAGGCTGGAGAGGCAGTGCTACTGCAAATGAAGCGAGGGCCACCTTGAGAGTTCCATGGGAGCAGATGGGGCCTGTCCAGGGCCTGGCCTCCCAGGGGGAGCCTGCTCCCTCTGTGTCCTGGGCTGGCACAAACTGTATACTCTTCCCTGCCTCACTCCTCCAGCTCCGCTGGAACCTCAGAGACAGTGCAGGCCACCCAACTTGTTAGACCTATGGGGGCGCCTGCAGCCAGAGCCTGAGGGTCTCCCAAGGGCTGTGGGTGGCTCCAGTAGGAAGCCTTCTTTCTGTGTCAGTGGACACTCATAACTAGAAAACTCAAGGTCTCCGACTGCCCATCTGCTGATATGTGCTCTGATTCCAGGCGGTGGGCCCTGCAAGCAGCAGTGCCGTGACACGGGGGGCGAGGTGGTCTGCTCCTGCTTTGTGGGCTATCAGCTGCTGTCCGATGGTGTCTCCTGTGAAGGTAACCTCTGTGGGCTGGTGGTGCGCTCAGCAGCCTCTGCTGAAGTTCTGAGCAGGGCCCGTTGGACACAGGACCTGTTCCTGGGTGGAGCACAGCTGGGACCGGATGGCCAGCGTTCCGTGGAACTTGTAGCTCAGTGGCTTCTGGACAAGGCTCTCGCTTAGGGGATACAGACACCTGTGCAGGGAGAGAGGGCTGACTGGCTTTCAGGTCCAGCTGGGCTCTGAATCTGGGATCTACTGAGTGGCTTTGGGCAGGTCCCTCAGCCCCTCCCCTCGTCTAGGAGATGGGGGAGAAGGGGAAGATGCAGCTCCCTTTATGGGCATCTTGAGGATCACATGACTGCAGAGCCCAGCACTTAGTCAAAGAGCAATGGACTGAAACTTAGTGATGGGTCACTATGACCCCTCCGCAGAGCTCCCAGCCCAGGTGTGCACATGATCCTATCGTGGCTTCTGGAACAATCCTTCTGATAAAGTGTAAGGATCTATTGTTCTTGCTGGTTACTCCTGCATCACCTTAATCTCTCTAGATATCAATGAATGCATCACAGGCAGTCACAATTGCCGGCTGGGAGAATCCTGTATCAATACGGTGGGCTCTTTCCGCTGCCAGCGAGACAGCAGTTGCGGGACTGGCTATGAGCTCACAGAGGACAATAACTGCAAAGGTACGTCATGAACCCACCTCTCTCCAGGTGTGGCTGTGGTGCAGCGGGAAGGGCCGCATCAGGCTCCCTTGTCTGGGCGCCATCGTGCTGCCCCCATGTGGCTACCTTGGGTACTGCCTCGTCTGTGCCCAAGCAAGGCATGGGGAGAGTGGGAGGAAGAGCTAGATCTGTGATAGCAAATTTGCCTTCTTATGGTGCCGAGTTAATGAGGCTGGCACATTTCGCTTTCAAGTCTCAGTGCCTGATCATTTAAAACCAGGACCAGGAACGAATTTCAGCTGCTTACATGTGCTTTCTACCAAAAAAAAAAAAAAAACAACAACCAGACCAACAAACAAAAAAAAACTCCCACAACTTGTTTTTGCACAACAGCTGCCTTCCATCTGAGTCCAGGCTTCCTTGAAGTTCAAAGCATAGCCCCTCCGATGCATAAAACAACATTTCTGGCTTCCGGCCTCTCCTGCCAAAGCCTTAGTTGTTATTTGGCAGATAAGGCTCTGATGAGAACTTTCAGAACATGCCAGAAGGACAGAGCACTTGTATAAAAATGTTAATCACTGAATTATGAGGGTGACCCAAGAGCCCGGTGTGCCCTCCTGACAGCTGAGACCTTGAGCAATTTCTCACCACCCCACCCTGCACATTGGCTGTGCCTTTGGTCCCCAGAGCCCAGGGCCAGGCCAGCTGAGTACACAAGCTCGAACCTTTGACGTCTGTGAACTGCAAGACCGGGCAGCCCATTGCGTCCTATCCTGATGCAGCCAGTGCTAATATTTGGAATAAGTGAAGCCTTCAGGATGGGAAAGATTATACAGAGTCTTTATCATCACTGAGATAATTGTTAAGTGTCCACTTTGCCTGAGTGAATACTGATAGATAGATGCCAGGAATTGCCTGGGCTGTTTATTCGATAGCAGAATGCTAGTCCCATGGAAGTCCTGGGGGGCGGAGTTTAAGTCTTTAGCAACCTGGCACGGTTTGGCTTACTAAAGCCCTTCTCATATGTGACCTCTCCGTTGGAATGTCTTGGGTTATAGTCTGACTAATGAGTGTTTTTTAAACCTTTCTTTTGATGTTAACGTGTTGTGAGATGCTTCCGGCAGGACGCTTGCTAACACTCTCCTTTTTTTATGATGCACCAGATATTGACGAGTGTGAGAATGGTATTCATAACTGCCCCCCCGATTTTATCTGTCAGAATACTCTGGGATCCTTCCGTTGCAGACCCAAGCTGCAGTGCAAGAGCGGCTTTATACAGGATGCTCTAGGCAGCTGCATTGGTAAGATGCGTGCGGCCAGCAGGGGTCCATGGGATTGGGGGCATCCCTATGGCAGGCCCCTGGAATCAGAGGCGCTGATAGAATACAGACCAGGGGCTGGCAAACTTTCTGTAAAGAGGCAGATAGCAAATATTTTAGCTATTGTGGGCCATGTGGTCTGTGTCACAGTCACTCATTCTGCTGTTAGAGTTCTAAAGTCACAGCCTCTGTGTAAACAAATGTGTGAGGCCGTGTTCCAATAAAATTTTATTTATAAACACTGGTGACAGGCTGGATTTGGCCCAAGGGCTGTTGTTTGCTTCCCTCTGATTTTGGAGTCAGAGATACCTGGTTTTGAACTGAGTGGCCTAAGAGAGTCACCATGATAGCTGCCTAGACATTGGAGGTGAGGACTAAGCAGGTGCTTGGGATGTGACAGGTATACAGGAGGTACTTAAAAAATGGTACCTCCTGCTACCGCCATTTAGTCTATTAAAATTATCACCAGGCAAGGTGGCTCAAACCTCTAAGTCTTACTGCTGGGGAGGCAGCGATCAGAAGGATGGTAGTTTGAGGCCAGCCTGGGCACAAAGTTCAAGAGACCCCATCTCAACCAAAACTGGATGTGGTGGTACATGCCTGTCTTCCCAGCTATGTAGGGAAGCATAAATAGGATTGAGGTCCAGTCTGGCCTGGGTACAAAGTGAGACCCTATCTCAAAAGTAACAAAAGCAAAAAGGACTTGGGGATGAGGCTCAAGTGATAGAGTGCCTGCCTGACAAGTGCTGAGTCCCTGAGTTCAAACCCCAGTACTGCCAAAAAAAAGAAAAAAATTTTTTTTCAAAAAATACTTGGTGTTTAGTAGTGGAATTCACAGAGGCAGAAAAGAGAATGGTGGTCGCCAGAGGCTGGGGGGCAGGAAGTAAGAGTTCGAATCTGGGAAAGTGAAAACCTTGAACTGACTGGGTGGCGATGGTGACACACTGAAAACTTCTTACTGCCGCTGAACTCCATGTTTCAATGGTTAAGATGCTGCATTCTGGGTTATGTATGTTTCACCACAATAAATGGCCAGTGTGAAAGGAGAGAAATCTCAGGTGAACTTACTGTAAAAATCAGAGGTCCAGGAGACGTGCTCAGGTCAGAGGAGCACCACTGGGATGGGACTCACCATCACCTCTTCCAGAAAGGCAGGCCATGAGCTCCTGCTGTCCCCGTCATCCAGGGAGCCACCTAGCTCCATCACTGTTTGCCATCTGCATTCGAGTCCGGATTTGAGTCCAGATCTGCTCTGCAGGCATGGGCTTCCAGGTCCTGCCTTTGAGTTGGGAGAGTTCTTTTCCTGAGCTGAGCCTCAGGCACCACAAGTCAGAGCCCAGCCTATCTGGGAAGGCTGTGTCTCCTTCCTCTCAAAAGGCCAGCACTACTGTGCAAATTTCTACCTTATTTCTGTCCTGTCTTTTCTTTGATAAAGTTTGCTGATCTTTTGTTTGAAGTGGCCTTGGAAGCTCCTATCCTTACCACCCCAAGGCACTAAAGGGGCCCTGTAGTAGAATCATCACCCTTTAAGATATGGCCTCATGGGAACCCCACCCTAGTCCGCCCATACAGTCTCCTCCTCAACCTTGTGCAGAGGCGTCTGAGCTGTGAGGTCCAAGCTGGGCTGAGCTGGCCCCTGTGGGAGTTGAGGGGACCATCCTTACCCAGCATGAGGGACAGAGAGCAGGAGCGCCTACAGCTCCCCCAGGCAGAGAGGAGGGTCCTGCTCAGACTGCGGCCCTAGAGGGCTCTCCTCTATTGAGGATGGAAACCCTGATTTGTGGCAAAATCAGCCTTCTCTTCCATCAAGAAAAAAAAAAACAAAAAAACTTTACAAATCTCAGCAAGACTTTGCAAGTCTTTGCAGGGTGCAGTACAGTGTAGGAGCTTAGGTTCAATAGCAGTGGGCCGTCCCTCCTTGTCCCCTCTAGACTAGGGGAAAGCCCTGCAGAAGCCCAGAATGTTGGTTCTCCCGTGACATTCCTCTGGGTCCACTGTGACAGCATCAAAAGCCAAGATCCCTTAGCTCAGCGTTAGGGGAGAGAAAGTCCCCTTTTGTGAGCTCTCAGAACCCATTCTTTTTAAAAATCACCTCTTACTGCAAAAGTTGGGCACCTCTTCACTGATGGATAAGTCAAACCTAAGTGTAGAGAACAAATGCTCTGCTGTGCAGGCACTGTGCCCAGCCTGGCCGGGTCTGTGTGCCCTCTGGGCTCTACTCGCTCCAGCCTTTTTGGGGTTTTTGTGGATGTAGGAGCAGAAAGCTCTGCCGTGGGTTTATCCCCACGTGACGTTGTATTTAGAAATCATTTTACGTTGGCACTTTTATTCATCTTTAAGGTAATACTGGACTGGAGGTGTGAGTCAAGCAGTAGAGTGTATGCATTGGCAAGTGTGAAGCCCTGAGTTCAAACCCCAGTCCCCCCAAAATAAAATAAAATTTTTAAAAAGATAATATCTCTATCAGCAGAAACAATCATTTCAAAGGATAAAATACATTGAAATAAAGGGAAGTTTCAGGCCATCCAGGAAAGGGCTGCAGAGGCTGCAGCCCAAATCCCCTCTTTCCAGTGCATCCTGGGCCTGTACCCCACCCACCTTGCTCCCTCTGGAGCAAACCCCAAGTGGAGCCAGGATCCACCGTCAGGAGCTGCAGTCATTCCCAGGACTCCTTGTGCCCTTCTCCACCCATACATCCCCCAGCAGAAGAGCCCTGCCCACTGGACCAGTACAAAGGACTATCAGGCTCAGAAGGCAGAGGCCTTCTTCCCGATTACAGAATCTAGAACTTGGAACTTTGATTTTGGTCACCGAGGACCTTGAGACCATCGCGTTTCACTGGGTTTCTTTCTTTTCTTCCCACTGTCTTCCATCTACCCTTGAGGAGGAGGAAGGGGCAGAGCAGGGCTTCCCGTGAGCTGTGTCTGGGAATGTTCACCGGTCCCAAGGCAGTAAAAGGTTCCATCTATCTCAGAAGCACCCGGTGAAACAAAGCAAACAGGGACCTCTCCACTGTGAATCTCTGAGAGGGAGAAATTGTGCAATGTGTTTTCACCAATTTGTTCTGTGTTTATTCTCTGTCCAGTTCATTCATTTGTCTACTCACTTATTCATTTATTCATTCATTGCCTGACCTTCATGGAGCATGCAGGACTCGGGAGGCAGTGATCACTGCTGAACGCTGCTTATTCTTGACACAAGGCAGGGGCCACCCAGCTCTTTCTGTAAAGGACTATATTATGAGTATCAACTTATCTGACCTCTGTTGTAACCACTCAGCTCTCTCAGTTACAGTGTGAGAGCAGTCATAGGTAATACGTAAGGAACCAGGCCTGGCTGTGTGCCAATAAAGCTTTATTTACAAGAACAGGCAGTGGGCTGGACTTGCTCCAAGGGCTGTGGTTGAAGACCCAGATGTAAGAGACATCGTAGTGATGGAGAGGCAGGACTGCTGGACTCTAGGCTTGGTCTCCGTCACCCTCTGGATTCTCAGCAGTCGTTTAATATATCTGGGTTCTGGTTTCCTAGTATAGGGTAGCTATGGTGGTCCAGAGTGATAATGGATGCAAGCCAACTCCAGGGGTGAAGGGGAATTGTAGTTAATTTGTTGGCCTGTCTCAGAGGGTGGGGCTTAGCTGGCAGGGAGCTGTCCCCCTTTTTGACTTAAGCTTGGGGGTCTTCTATTATCACTCCCTTCTTATTGTCTCCTCACCTCCACATGCTTTGGAAGCATCTGAACTGGGGCATTCTCAAAGATGGCTTTCCAAATATAGGTCCTTTTAGAAGACTACACTAGTAGGGGCACTGCCTGCGTGTTTTGGCACTGAATTTGAGCGTAAGAAGTGACCCTTTGTGTACCCAGTGCTTGGTTGTTTACTGGTCCACACTTGCACATGCCTACCAAAGGCAGATGGTCCAGTGTCCCCACACTGGAGGCATGCCACTGGAGGAAGGAGGTCCTTATGCAGGGAGCTGTGAGAGCCACAGCCCTTCCTGGCTGGCCTGAGCCCAGAGGGGGACAGGAAGTTGGTGCTAAAAGAGGTGTGACTGCCAGGCAGACAAGGCCTGGGGCCCTGGAGGTGGGTCTTGAGTGGCTGGTCCAGGAGCTATAGGTGTGTTGTTAGGGCTCAGAGGACTGGCCAGGTGAGGCCAGGAGGCAGGCAGGGTCCAGCCAGTCACCAGAGAAGGCTGAAGCTTCACTGGGTACAAAGTGCTGACCTTGAGGGGACAGGCACCTCTGTTTCCCTAGCACCAACCTCAGGTAAAGGTCTACCTGTGTGGACCACATGTGTGCGGAAAGCCAGGCAGACACAGGTGCGGATTGAAAGGTGGAGGTGCTAGAGGTTTCAGGGCAGGAAGAGAGATCAGGGAGGGGATTGCAGGCTATGTGCTGATGATGTTGGGGGCTAATTTGGAGGCTGCCATGTGGTCTTGGGGAAGGGATCATAGTGTCTGTGGTTCCGCAAAGAAAAGGGCTGGGAGTTCTTGGGAGACCCAAGTGCTGGGTTCTGGGATGTCCTTCATGTGTAACCATGCTGCCTCTGTCTGTTCCCTAGATATAAATGAGTGTTTGAGTATCAGTGCTCCGTGCCCTATCGGGCAGACATGCATCAACACAGAGGGCTCCTACACATGCCAGAAGAATGTGCCCAACTGTGGCCGTGGCTATCATCTCAACGAGGAGGGAACACGCTGTGTTGGTTGGTATTAAAAATTAAACAAACCTGAAATAGACTTTCCTGCCCTTCTCTTGAAGGGGAGAGTCGGTCCCCAAGTGCAGCCATGTCTGCCTGTCCATCCATGTCATGGCCAATCCTTAACACAGGCCTTTGTGGTCTTGCCTGGATTATTACAGTAGCACAGTAACCTGTCCAGTGGCTCCAGCCTTGTCTCTGTTAGCCTGTCTAGCTCACTCTAAGCCCAGTGGTCCCTCACACCTACCTGCTCACAGCCCTTCAACAGTCCCCCCTCCCCCAAATTGGTGACAAAGGATAGATGTTTACAATTCATTTCTCCTGAGCTGGCCCCAACTTCAGGAGCCTTATAATCCAGATGACATAGATCTTGCCACTCCTCAAACAACATAGGGCTATTGCGTGGGTTTTTTGGTTCTTATTTTCTCTGCCTTCTTGTTCCTATGTTCCTTTGGATCCAAGGCAGCAACTGTCCAGATCCCTGCCAGGGAGGGGGCCTCCCTCCCCCTATTCCCTGGACACTTGGCATCTCCCCCACAGCACTGGGCATTTCCTCCCTTCCTGGTGGTCACTGCTGGCCAGCCAGATCAGGAATGCTCTACCTGAGGGTGGCACTGCCAACTGTCTCCCCACCATGGGCCTGGCACACAGTAAATGCTCTGTGACGAATAGAGCAACACGGCTTTGTCAGCCTGCATTGTAGCGTGCTCCTTGGGGGTGGGGAGACACACTGAAGTTTTCTCAACGTGTCTTTCTTCCTCCTTTGCAAGATGTGGATGAGTGCTCACCCCCCGCAGAGCCCTGTGGGAAGGGGCATCACTGTATGAACACCCCTGGCAGTTTCCGCTGTGAGTGCAAGGCTGGTTATTATTTCGACGGCATCAGCAGGACGTGTGTGGGTACGTGAATGTCTTTCAGGCACTGGGGGACCTGGCCAGGTGGCATCAAACAGGACACGGTCCTGGTATGACCATGCCCAGTCTTCATCTCTGAAAGTCCCAAGTTCAGGTCATCCAGAGGAAAGACCCTGAATTAGGAGCCCACTCTAGTTGTAGCTTTGCTGCCACTCCACTCTGCAGCCCCCGACCAGGCCCTCTTAGTGTGAGCCTGTAAGCAGGTATTCGGCTTGGCTCCAGAATTCCAACTGTTTCTGAGACTCAAACCCAGGTCAGCAAAAAAGCAAGGCTAACTGATTTCCCAAAGGTTCATCTCACCTGCAATGCCTAGGGGCCAGAGGTGTGCAGTTGCCCAGGGAGGGGAGAGCCAAAGATAAGCAAGAGTGACGTCAGATCCTGCCCATCCAGCACTGGATGAGCACCAAACCAGGGTGCTCAGTGGAACTGGAAGCTGCTACTCACCACATAATGTCCCCTTTGCTAAATCCCAGTAGACCCTCCTCGTGGGCACTGGGCAGAGGGCTGGCAGGAAGGCACCTGCCAAGGTGTGCCATAGAGGCACAGAGCTTGATGCAGGCGCACCACGCATGGTCCTGGCCTTCCCACCATCTTGGCATGAGTTTGGAACAAGTCACTTTGCTTTCCTCATCTGAGAAACGAAGCTGGAAGCAGTAGGAGATGAAGGAGGTGGAATGAAGGCTGTTAACTGTCACCATTGGCAGGAGGGTGGGATGTGGCACTGCTGCAGTAGATGTGCCCCTGAGCTACCCTTTGTTTCAGACATCAACGAGTGCCAGCGCTACCCTGGGCGCCTGTGTGGCCACAAGTGTGAGAACACGCCGGGCTCCTACCACTGTAGCTGCTCCGTGGGCTTCCGGCTGTCTGTGGATGGCCGGTCCTGTGAAGGTGAGGATGGGCCTGTGCGCCAAGGGAGGTCAGCAGCCTTCCTCATGCTCTTCCTTTTTGGGGAAAGCCACCCTGTCACAGACTCATTTGGGTGATTCGTGTTCGTTTCCCAGCTCATAGTAAAAGGCATGTTAGTGGGGACATGCCTGTAAAATGGCTTGTCTGAGAGCACCACCTGCTCGTCCTGGTTTCTTCCAATAACATCTACCCTATGAGGCCATGTGGGATGCCACCAACTGCCTAGGATGTAGAGGTGTGAGGCCCACTGCTTTAGTGACCTCAGCCTGCCTCAGCAGGCCCAGTGTGACAGATTTTTTTCTGCTATCAGGGAGAGAGATTGGTGTAAATCAGTGTCAAGTCCACCAACACAGAAAGTGAGCTTTTCAGATGCCAGGCCACTACAGACAGGACCTGCATGAGGCCAAGGACATGATCACTGCGACCAGCCAGCTGGGCTGCTCTCTGGCCCTTGTGGCCACTTGGTTCCACTACTCCCACAGAGACTGGGAGACGGGTCTCATGCCTTCCTCCTGATAACATCCAGGTCCTGGAAAAGGTCGCTTCTGGGCCGTGGGAGGTGCAGGTCATAAGGACTTGACAGGGTTTATCTTTGCAAGACTTCACCTTCCTTCCAAGACTAAGGGAGAGCGCTGGGGGCATGGCTCAAGTGGTAAAGTACCTGCCTACCAAGACTAAGAGAACTCAGATTTTGTCTGGAAAAGAGAGTGACCTCCTCAGGCAGCCCCAGTTCCTCAAGCAGGTATTTTAAGGTGGCCAGGGTCCTGACCCTAGGGACATGGATTTGAGCCAGTAGCAGCCACGTCGAAATTGTCCAGCCTCCGGAGGCATCAGGGGTTGGTCAGTGATGATGTTTGTGCAAATCTTGCTGTGTGCATATAACTGTCCCCTGGGCTGCTGAGCTGTGTGTTCAGTACAGGGTCCTGCACGTCACAGGTGATCCAAGATTATCACATTTTATACAGTGGCCTAGAGGGTGGTCTCAAAACCCAGCAGGTCTTCAAAGTTTGGATTGAGGAAGACTTACTCATGAGGTGGTTGCAAAAGTATCTGGGCCAGAATATCCCCACGGGCCTCATCCCAACCAGAGGATAGGTGGTGTCCTCAAACACATGTGTGTGTTGGCAAGGAACAGGATTCACAAGTTGAAAGCCTCTGGGACATGGGTTCAAATCCCATTTCTGCCATTTTTATGGCCTTGACAAAGTGAGTCGTGTTTCTGGCAGTATGAAGACTGTTGAAATTAACTATTGATATTATTACTGCCTTGAGCTTCCCCTGGCTGTTATTAAAGGAGTGAAAAATAGGCATTCATAACTACTGGGCAGTGTTGTGGATACAGACCTAGGGCCTAACTGCCTTGCCACTCCACTAAGCATTCATGAAGCACCTGCCCAGGCTGGACTTAATCCCTGTGTCAGGGAGCGTGTCTAGGATGTGGCAGGAAAACCACACTGGGCATAGATCGGGCAGGAGGGCCATGCCAGGTGTGTGTGGGCTACAGAATGAAACACTGAATGAGAGGCTAGTGGACATTCCCTCCTGCCCTGCACAGAAGTAGCAATAAATAGATGTGAGACAGGCCCTCTAGGCCAAGGATTGGAAGCTGTTTCTCTACAAGTCACTTGGTAACTATTTTAAGCCTTTCTGCAGAGTCTGTGGATAGTACTCCACTCTCCTGTGCTAGTGCAAAAGCGGCCCTAGAATGTGGTCAAAAGAGTGTTCATGGTTGTGTTCCAATAAAACTTTATTAACAAAAGCAAGTGGTGGATTTGGCTGGTGGTCTTCTGACCTCTGCTCTCGACAAAGGGAAAAGGTGAAAAATAGCCAGAACTGCTGAGTGGCCCCTGAGCTCAGAGCTCTGGAGTACCAGGAGTACAATCCTGTGTGCTGGGTCACATGTGCTGTCACCTTGATGCCCAGTGAGGACAAGATGAGGCTGTCACTGTGGTCCTGGTGGGAGGTGCTGTGTCTTGACACAGGCAGTGGCAGGGTCCAGATTCATCAGCCACAAGAGGCTGGAGTGCGGCCCTATCTCCCTCGGGGGTCCCAGCCCTGCACCCCAGGACCTCTGTCTCTCCCTGTGTATTCACTTGGGGAGGTGGAGAGGATGTATGCTGCTTGCTGTTCCTAGTGCTATTGTGAGGGCTGTGCTGAGGGCAGGGACCTGTGACATGGATCTAAGTGGTGACCCAGGTCTCTCTCTCTCAGATGTGAATGAATGCCACAGTAGCCCCTGCAGTCAAGAGTGTGCCAATGTCTATGGCTCCTACCAGTGCTACTGCCGGCGAGGGTATCAGCTCAGCGACGTGGACGGGGTCACCTGCGAGGGTGAGGATACCCTGCATGCTCGGAGACAGCCTGCCCTGGCTTTGCCACTGCCCAGCAGCTGCAGGCTGTGTTTTAGAATCCATGGCGGAGAGCCTGCTGAGGTTTCTCTACCTGGTGAAGCTTCATTCCCACCCTTGGAGGCAGGGGTGCACTTTTGCTTTTAAAATCCTCTGACAGATTTACTTAAAAGCACTTTACTCAGGTTGAGAAGGAGATTAGGAAGGGAGCGAACCAACCCGAAATTGTTCTTTTCATTTTTCTTTTTTTGTGGTACTGGGTATTGAACCCAGGACTTTGAGCTTGCTAGGCAGGCTCTTTGCCATGCCTCTAACCCTGTTTGCTTTAGTTGTTTTTCAAATAGTCTTGTTGTGTTTGTAACCAGCCTGGCCTGTACCACAGACCTCCTATTTACACATCCCATGTAACTGGGACGATAGTCGCACACCACAACACCCAGCTTCTTATTGGTTGTGTTGGGGTCTCTTGAACTTTTTTTGCACAGGCTGACATCGTACCTTGAGCCTCCCAATCTCCATCTCCCAAGTAGCTGGGATTACAAGTATAAGCCACTGTACCTGGCTTAATACACTTTTAATACACATGCAGTGGAGATGACCACTAAGTGTCCTGGATGTGAGCCACCTGCACGGGGCTTGGTAGAGGCATGTGACTGAGAGGTGAGGAGGGTCTCAGACCACTCCGCCCTTAGCCCCAATTCTGCCTCTGGCCTTTTGAGCTCCTTTCTCAGAGGCCCTCCTGTCACATGGGGTAGGCCCCTCCCCAGGCTGCGGGAAGATCAAACCAGATGACAACTAAAGGGCAACTGTTAGGATTGTTCCTATAGGGTGAACATCCCTAGTCTCAAATCTCATAATGTTCCAATACCTGGAACTTTTTGAACACTGACCTGATACTGTGTGGAAATTTCCACTCCTGACCTCATGGGATGAGTCATAGTCAAAACACTGTGCAGTAAAAACACTGTATAGCATTACTTTCAGTCTGTGTGGATAAGGTGTGTGTATAACAAATGAACTTTGTGGTTAGGCTTGGCCCTCATCCCCGGGATATCTCATTACATAAATGGAAGTATTCCAAAATTCAAAAATGTCTGAAATACTTCTGGTGCGTGCATTTCGGGCACGGGCTCCTCCACCTACATTTTCATGTAAGGCGTCTTTTCTTATTGGTGAATTGCTCTGACTCCTTCTTCTTCCCATCACATGAAGGCTTCACACCACGAGCTTGCTATATATGACCCTAGACTGGCCCCATCCCCTCTCTAGACCTCAGTTTCCCCTTCTGACATGGTGGTCTCTGAAGTCACCCCCCAGTCCCAGCACCCTGAGGCCTCTGTCCAGCTTGCCCTGAGCTGATGCCTTGCAATCCCAGTCTGACCACCCAGGGCCATATAGCCCAGCCAGAGTCACAGGCCAAGCCTGGATGCTGAGGCTGGGCTCTGCTGTTGCAGACATCGACGAGTGTGCCCTGCCCACTGGGGGTCACATCTGCTCCTACCGCTGTGTCAACGTCCCTGGAAGCTTCCAGTGCAGCTGCCCCTCATCTGGCTACAGGCTGGCCCCCAATGGCCGTAATTGCCAAGGTAAGCATGTCTCTCTCTCTCTCTCTTTCTCTCTCTCTCACACACACACAATCACTCAGGCATGCTGGGAGGTTTGTGGGCATTAGGGGTGGGATGTACTTCCATACTCAGGGGTCATGCCACAGATGGGATGCATTGGGAGAGGGATGTGTCTTGCTTTCCCACACCTGGGTCCCGAGCACCCTGTCCTCAGGGTACATGAGCTCTTTGAAGGGTGGGTTGGGCAGGACCACCTGAGCCTTCCTACTGTGCCCTGGGTGGCCCTCCGAAGACTGACCGAGGGACTGACCACCTTTAGGAGTCGGTGCCTGAGCGACCCCATTCCTGGTGCTTGCTGGGGCAGCCTTTCATTCACTCATTGGACAAACTATGGCTGTGGACCCAGCCCTGGGTCAAAACAGTGCACAGATCATGAGGCCACTGTCCTGGCAAGGGACTGACTGTGGTCTGGTGTATGAAACATTGAGGTCTCATTTGTAGACACTGTGGTTGTGAGCAGGGTCCAGCAGAGCCAGAGTGAGCTCCAGCATGGTCTAATGATGAAGGGATCATTGGAGTCCATTCTATATTCAGCCCCATTCCTGAGAACATGGTGGGGGTCCCCTGCTCTGTGACCGTCCAGCTGATAACGGAGAGGTGCTGAGTAGATGTTTGTGAGCAAATGAGCCTAGAAGACACACTTGGGCTCACACCAGGCTGGTCTCAGGAAGGGAATCCAGAGATGCGGCTGTCCAGCTCCTTCCACAGGAGCCCCCGGGGGGCTGTTGATCCAGGAGCTTCAGTGGCCCTGGGCTCCGCACATGTCATTTCTGATCTTGAAGAAGGTGACTTAGCAAAGGCAGGCAGGAGCCATGGCATTCCCTGGGAGGGACCACTCAGCGCCTTCAGGGTTGGACCAGATCCAAGCTTTCCCTTCTCCTGGCCGGGCTCCCTCACCACAGCCTGGGGTCCTGTCCAGATGCAGCAAAAACACATTCCTGAGCTGTGACCTCTGAGAGTGGGGAGGGTTGTATTTGCCACTGATAGACATTTGGCACCACTTAACAGATACCTCCTGGGTTTGGTGACGTCCTCTAAACCCTACCATTTAGCTGCTCTGGAGTGTTGGTGTGGGGAGGGGTTCCCTACTTCAGAGGCCTCTCGTTATGGTACCCCAAGCCCCGCAGTAGGATCCTTGCCTCGTTCCCACCCAGCCCCACCTCAGCACTAAGACAAGATGCATAACCCATTAGGCCTGTTTTCCTTTCTGTGAAATGGGGCTGGAGGCTCTGCCCCTACCCTCCTAGGAGGTGAAGAGTCACATGTGAGGTAAGGATGACAGGCCTTGGGAGCCATGGAGAGGAGCTGGTGGGTAGTATACAACTCTGGCACATGCCTGCCTGCCTGCCTGCCTGCCTGCCTGGGTTCAAAGCTTGCAGGTTCCTGAAGCTGTGTGAGCAAACCCTAAATGAGGCTCATGAGAGCCTTGGTTCCTTGATGCCTTGAATCCTTACTCCTGCCAACATCCCAGGGCTGTACTCGCACCAAGGACTGTGAATAATAAGTTAGTGCTCCATAAAGTTAAGCATCCCATAAACAAAAGAGCTGCCACCAAGCACTGCTCTAGTGGAGAGTAAAGATAGTCAGGTCCTACTCCAGCCCTGAGCGGTAGAGGCCTGGGTGGACAGAGACAGCTTCTGTGATGTTGACCTTGACCACGCTGCCTCCGGGTCTCTCACAGACATTGACGAGTGTGTGACAGGCATCCACAACTGCTCCATCAATGAGACCTGCTTCAACATCCAAGGTGGCTTCCGCTGCCTGGCCTTCGAGTGCCCTGAGAACTACCGCCGCTCTGCAGAAACGTAAGTCCCAGGGCCACTGTTGTCTATCTGTGTTTGCCTTTCTGGAGGCCTGGTTCCAGGCCTGGGCAGGTGGTGACCTGCCCTCCAACGGGGGCCTCAAGGTCCAGCTGATGCCTAGGTCTCAGGTCCTAAAGACCAGTGAAACTGGTCTCGGGAGGCCATGAGGGTGACTGCAAACGGGTCTAGGGTCAGTGAACAGGCTGGCAGGTTGAGCCTGTGCATCAAGCTGGGCTGAAATCCAATCCTCTCATGGCCTAGTGTAGACCGTGGGCAGCTCTCTGGGCCTCAGTTTCCTCATTTGTAACATGTGGATGTCAGAACACACTGTGACCCAGATGAGCTGGTAGCAATACCTGTGTCAGCCAAAAGCCAAGAGCCAACGTGACTTGCTGGGGCTTCATTAGTACTCCCCGCCCAACAACGAGATTCTGTCCAGATGGGCTGTGTCATTATAAATTCACTCTCTCCCTGGCCAGCAGAATGTCCATGGGTGTATCCAGGAACCCCTTCCTTGGGGACTCATGAGGAGCCCCAGGCCACGCTTCTGCCCTCAAGCGCCTTTGCCCCTAATTTTATTCTCATTTAGTGCTACTTGCTGGGCCTGGGAGTGAAGCTCAGGGGTAGAGCACTTATCCAGCATTCACAAGGCCCTGGGTTTGACCTCCAGCACCACAAAAAGGAAATGAATGAACAAATTCTAGTGTCACCTTCTTCAGGAAAGCTCCACGCTGGCTGTGGATTTCAGAGTGTGGACTTGTAGCCCCTCCCCCCAGCACAGAAATGCTCAAAGCAGCATACCTGGGTTTCCCAGTTCTGACCTCTTGCCCTCAAGCTTGTCTTGGGCTCTTGGCCAGCTGCCCTCCTGGAGGATTAGTGCCTTCCTTTGATGATGCACCAGGCTCCAGTGTCCCCTGCTGGGACCACAGGGCAGCTGTCCTGGTTTGTGGTTCCACACGGTCTCCAGCTTGCGCCACAGCTCTGCTTTCCCCTCCGTGTGCAGCCCTCTGTGTTCTCCCTGACCTTGAGTTGCTCACTCACTAGCCTGGCTGTGACTTTATCTAGCATGTGTTTTTTTCTGCTTACAAACCCAACACCTCACTTGGGCATGATGGTGCACAGCTGTAATCTCAGCACTTAGGAGGAGGAGGCAGGAAGATCACAAGTTTGAGGTCAGCCTGGGTCAGCAAGACCCTATCTCAAAGACAACAACAAAAACCAACATCTTGTTTCCTTCTCATGCTTGGGTCAGGGATAAACCACTCCAGAATTAGGTTTGCACAAGTGTCACATCCCAAAGAGCTGGCAGTGACAGTGCTTCTCTGAGCCACTGAGAAAGTCCCACGTCTTTGTATGAGGCTGTGTGCCATTTGTATTGTAAGTTCACTTGCATCCAGGCATTTTTCAGGCATGGGTTTGAGGATTCCAGAATCCCGATTAGGGTTGTGATGGCACAGCCACCAAATCAACAGAAGAGGATCTGCCCAGCATGGGGCCATGACGTCCCTTAAGCAGGTTGGCCATGCTCGCTGAGGTTGTGGCTGGGATGGGCGGAACCCAGCTCCACCCTTGGTGATGGGATGGGCTGTGGAAACCATTGCCACCAATTGGTGCTGGTGAAAGTCACTGCGGTTGGGCCAACTGTGTACAGACACCTGGTAATCAGGGTCCACAAAAGCCCTGTCACCTATGTCAGCCTCTGGGAGCAGGTACAAAACAATGATCTGAGAGTGTGGAGGTGCTAAGAGAGAGGAAGGGCCTCCACCTGGTCAGGGGAAGAGGGGGCTGGACAACCTGGACTTGCTAGACTTGAATCAAGGTCAAGGTGGAGCCACCTTAGGCAGGGGACAGAGAGTATAGACTTTTTTTTTTTTTTCTTGGCAGTACTGGGGTTTGAACTCAGGGCCTCATGCTTGCTAGGCAGATGCTCTACCACTTGAGCCACTCTGCCATCCTGGAAGCAGGTTTTAAACCTGAAAGAGCCAAGTTTAGAAAGGAGCCAGTGGGCAGCACTCCTAGTTAGTGCCTTGCAAGGGAAGCTCACCTTAGAAGCCTCAATGGGCAAGATGTGCAAATTGGCTGGCTTCCTGTCTCCCTCTCTCTGGGCCTTGGTCCTTTCTGTCTGTTCATTAGGCTGCCTTCTGCCTGGTTACTGTCCCTGGTGATCAAGGGGTGGTAACTAGAACTTGACCCAGCAATCCAGGCCACACACCAAAGGCCTGACCTCATGGACCTTCCCAGGCTGCTAAGGTCCTGACCATACAGTGCCCATGGGTAGGCCCTGTGATGTGGCTGGAAGCATCCTTTTTATCCCCGCAGCAGGCCCACACTGATGGCGTGTGGTCATGAAAGTTGGCACAAAGCTGGGAGGCTTTGGGTGCTGCGCCTTGGGGAAGGGGTACAAGTGGAGAGTCTTTGCCTGTGGGTATAATGAGGATGGGTAGAACCCTCAATGGCCTCTCTGCCCTGGCATGGAAAAGCCAGAGAAATGCCAACAGGGATGGCCGCAGACAGACAGCTGGAGTGGCCAAATCGCCTGCCTCCTGGGCTTGTCCTCTCTGTCCTGGGAGGCTTTTGATAATGTTCACAGAAGTTTGGGTACTACGACGTGTGGAACTGGAAAATAGGGGCATGTGGTCTTCTGAAGCGTGGTGTGATGACGGAGCATGTCCGTGGGATCTGGGAACATGGTCCTCACGCTGGGCATGCAGGTTACCAGTGCCCTGTTCTGTAACAGATTTGGTGTCAACAGCCTGTCTCCAAGCTGGGCACACTGGCTACCAAAGATTCTAGTGCTGTTCTAAATCCAACAGGCAGTCTGCCAGACACAGTGGTTATGATTTCCTGGATGTTTCAGGAGGTTTGTGCAGACCAGGACAGGACCACTGAGAGGAGAACCAAGGACAAGTCTGTGCAGCAACCATTTACAAAGCACAAAGTAAGAGTCAAGCTTTACACAGGAGATAAAGCCAGAGCCACTGTCCTGCCTTGGGAAGTGAATGCTCTAGAAACACCTCTTGTGAGGAAAGGCTCGGGTGCTCTGATGGATGGCTCTGTGGGGTCAGGTGTGGAGGCCACTGGGGAGAAAGGAGTGTCCTGATCTCTGGTGTGTGGTGGTCGCCAGAGTTGTACCAGGACATCGCATTCCTTGCCTTCCACATACACTGCCTCAGTGCTTCCATTTAGCCACCCCAAACCCCATCCTTGGTCAGAACGGGCCACATGGGACAAGTGTAAAGCGAATCCCACAGAGGAGACTCTAGCGCTACCTGCCGACCAGGCCCATCCAGGCCGAGCCTGAAGCATCTGGGGGTGGGGGAGTGCATGTTTGTGTGTGCATGTGTGTACAGGTCCATTTATGTGTGCAAAGGCTTTAAAGGGAGACAGGCTGACTTTGAAACCTCATCTTGCCACTTACCTCAACTGTTCCATTGTGGACAAGTTCTTCATGGCCCTCCCCAGTTTCCAGCTTCTCAGAGGCTCTGTCTCAGGTAGAAAGAGATCACTCGGGTCACATGAAACACTCGCATTTGGTCTGGACCAGCTCTAGAGACAGAGGACCCTGTGCAGTGCCTGTGCCGCCTTCTTTCCTACCTCTGGCTCCGGGAGCCCTCCCATGTGGTACTCCCCTCTTCCGTGACCGTGATCCTCATGTCTCAATCACTCTTGGGCTGTGCCTTCCCTGGCCAGAATGGTAATTAACCAAGTAAATAAAGGCTTCCTCTCAGCCCTGATAAACAGCTTGGAAAATAGATGCAAACAGAGCCCCTGCCCCCACAAGACGTGCTCAGTGTAAAATGAGTTCAAGCAACCTAACACAAGACATGGGATCTTAACAAGTCGAAGGGAGGTGTAGTGGAAGACCAGAACCTAAACATGGGTAAGATGGCAGAACTTCCTTGGAAGTGCTTGGCTGCATCGGGTGGGGCTCTACCTCTAGGGTCTGCTTCTTAAGTTCCTACACTGCCTTCAGAGTATGACGAACCTGAAATTCAGGACACACAGGTCAGTCTTTGTCATCCTGTCACAGGAAGTCAGAACCTGTAGCAGGAAGTTAGGACCTGTCCATCCTGTCACAGAAGTTAGGACCTCTCTCCATTCTGTCATAGGAAGTTAGAACCTATCTCTATCCTTTGTCGTCACCATTCTGTGTCCTGAATTAACTCTGAACAGAGACAGGGAACTGGTCCTGAAGTCCAGAGCTGAGTGCTGAGGATCAGGTTGCTGATCTCACTGCCCAAGCACAGCTCAGTCTCCCTCCCCAACTTTGTGACCTTAGGAACCTGTTTCCTCATCTGAAAAAGCCACCATGGTGAGGCCTTGAGAATGCAAGAGGAATAGCCCTGCACATGGTAAATGGCAGGCATGGTGTGGAGACAGTCCCATCCCTTCAGGAGTCATCTCTGAGGCTACACCCAGGAGCCCTTGAGGCCCTGGCCACTGTCTGGGCAAGGGGCCAGGAGCCTGGATGCCAGGGTGTTCTTGCTGGGTGTTCCTGGGGTGAGGCTCTGCTGTGAGAAGGGTACAGCCCTTGACCCCAGCCACCAGCACCCCCAGAGGGGCTTGGAAGAGGCTATTGCCTGAGTCAGCGGCCTGGAGGTCCCCAGCGCCTCCCCCAGGTGAGTGAGGGGTGCTGTTCACACTGGCCACATGGGCCAGCGAGCCCCCGCTTGCCCACGCTCTGTTGTTTCCCCGCTTGCTGAATCGGCCCTAACGCTCCTCTTGTCTCTCTGTGCACTTGTCTTGCAGCCGCTGCGAGCGCTTGCCTTGCCATGAGAACCCGGAGTGCCCCAAGCTGCCTCTGAGAATAACCTACTACCACCTCTCTTTCCCCACCAACATCCAAGTGCCCGCCGTGGTTTTCCGCATGGGCCCCTCCAGTACCGTCCCCGGGGACAGCATGCAGCTGGCCATCACCAGCGGCAATGAGGAGGGCTTTTTCACCACACAGAAGGTGAACCACCATAGTGGGGTCGTGTCCCTCACCAAGCCCATCCCAGAGCCCAGGGACTTGCTCCTGACCGTCAAGATGGATCTTTATCGCCATGGCACCGTCAGCTCCTTTGTGGCCAAGCTTTTTATCTTTGTGTCCGCAGAGCTCTGAGCACTTGCTTTGGTGGCGGGGGTTCCCTCTTGTCGCTTTCCTCACCTGCCCTTGGGATTCCAATAAAATGTCAGCAGCATCCCGCATAGCACGTTGCGCGTGCCTTGGTTTTATTTGACATAGACTGTGCTTTCATCCCCTGGGAGTGAGCTGAGCCCTCGCCAGTGCTGGTGTCCCCAAGAGCTGGCTGAGGAATGCTTTCCATGAGGTGACATATGTCTGGGATCACTGTTGATGGCAGAGCTCGCTGTGGGTGTCACCAGGGAGCCAGGCCAGGGGAGACAAGGCTGGGGCCGGTACTCTTGGACGAGTTACCTCTTCATTTGCGTTGACCCCTAAAGGATAAAGTTGGTGTTTGAGAAGCGACCTTACCCTCTGAGATTACTGAGCTCAGTCCTCTTAGTGTTCAAATGTGGAAACTGAGTCCCTGAGAAAATGAAGGACTTGGCCAAGGTGACATGGCCTGTTGAGACCAAGCCAAGCTGAAGTACTAGATCTTCTGGCCCCTGCCTGATCTTTGCCAGATCACCTGGGTTGAGCATTTAACTGAGACAGAAAAAGCTCTGGCTGAGATTCAGATCGCCTATTCTGCAAAAGCACTGAACGTACTTGCTGCATCCTGCATTTTATTTTAGCTTTTGGTGGTATTGGGGTTTCGAACTCAGGGCCTTGCATTTGCAACCCAAGCACTCTACCACTTGAGCCATGACCCAGACTAGTTGATGCATCTTGGATGAAGCTGTTGCTTAATGAGGTCAGGGCCTCCACCGTGGATCCCTCATTGTGCCAGGAGGAGGCAGAAGGGCAGCCCAATAAATGCCCTGCTCAATGGGACCTCTGAGCATACGTTAGCTTGTTCCTATGCTTTGCCTCCTGTCGTGCCTTGCAGGTGTGTCTTCTTCACACTCTGAGAAGGTGTGTGATTTGCCCAAGATCACACAGCTGGTATCCAAACCCTGACTCCACAACTCTGCCTATTCCATTCTGTCTCTGTGAGCCTTGATCCACCTGCCTCTGTTTGCCATGTTCCAGCCTCGCCACCTTCTACTGATCTCCCAGCATCCTCTCACTCTCCCTATGGTTTATTCTCTGCTCAGCAATGGAGCAAGATTTTAAGCCTCGGCCTCAAACCCTTCATTGGCTTCTGCTGCATTGAGACTGAATCCCTCATATACACAGTGTGCTGTGCATGACCTCTGCAGCCTGACCTCACATTTTCTCCCCTTGCTCACTTCCCTCTAGCCATATTGCCAAGCTCTTTGCTGCTTCAGACCCTTTGGACATACTTTGTACCCTCGGCCTGAAAGTTGCTTAGACCTCCGTTTAAGTGGCCTTCCTCTGGAAGATTGGATTAGTCTGTTTTGTGTTGTGATAACAAAGTACTTGGAAGCTGGGTAACTTTATAATGAAAAGAAGTTTATTTTGGCGTATAGTTCTGGAAGTCCAAAGTCAAAGGTCTACACTTGGTGATGGCCTTCTTACTGGTGGAGTCCCAATGGGCACAGGGTATGTCCTGGAAAGAGATGGGAAGCATGCATGTACATCTGTGTGTCTCTTCTTATAAAGCCTCTGGAATTCAATCATGGGACTCCACCCTAATGTCTATCCAAGTCTAACCACTTTCCAAAGGCCCCGCCTCTGAACACCACAGCTGGATCGAGTTTCCACGCTTAATACCTCAGTGAGGCAATGCCTCAGTCAACACATGAAGACTTAGGAGACACTCCCACCATGTCCACACTACAGCAGCAGCCTTGCCTAACACCCCAGGCCGATAATCTCTCCATCCATCTTTCTCCTTATGCTTCTTTAAACCTGACGCAGTCCCATTTACCTGATCTCACAAATTTGTCTTTTCCACCATTCAGAAGGTTCCGGGAAGAAGGAGAACGGGTCTGTCTCATTCAGTGACTGTCTCCAGCTCTTCCCAAGGTGTCCAGCACCCAGCAGGTGCTCTGTCCATGTCCATTGAGGGGACAATGACTTTCTGCCTACACTAGCTTGTGTTTTTAGTGTTTCTGAGAGTCTGGCTGCTCCCAAGTAGAACCTGAAGAGGTCATGCCCACAGTCTGGTGCCCACCCTTCCTCCTAGTGGGGAAGATGGTGGGTAATGAAGCCCTGCCCCAAGTAGAGAGGCAGCACCTACTTTTCTAACCTGTTGCCTTCAAGCCTCTCTCTGTCCCCCAGACCTCTCTCAAATGCATCTGGGCTGGGCCAGCTTCCAGTTGTCCCCTCCCAGAGCGTGCTCCAGGTTTCAGCAGAGGATGTTGAAGGACTGGACTGTCTACGTGCGCTGCTTCTCCTCAGACCCTTCCCTGGTTCTTTTTCCCAGCCCACAAAGTCTAACTCCCTTGGAATGACCTTCCAGGCCCTCGTGGTCTGGCTCTGCTCACCCTTCAGCTCCAGCTGCCCACCTCCAGCTCACCCCACTGTTTGCTCTTGCTTGAATGTGCCTGCTCTTGATTCTGTTGTGTCCTTTGTTGTCCTCCTGCAAACTGCCATTCTTCTGGCAGACTTAGCTCAAAAGTCACCTCCTCAGTGAAGCCTTCCCTGCTCTTGATTCTGTCGTGTCCTTTGTTGTCCTCCTGCAAACTGCCATTCTTCTGGCAGACTTAGCTCAAAAGTCACCTCCTCAGTGAAGCCTTCCTTGGTCAGTGCTCCCTGGCCCCAAGCGTCCTCCATCAGAGCATTTACCTGTGGTCTTGTGGTTGTTCTTGTTTATTTCCCCCACTAGACAGTGGGCTTTTTATTTATTTGTTTATTGGCAGTATTGGGGGTTGAACTCAGGGCCCATACTTACCAGGTCGGTGCTCTACCACTTGAACTATGGCTCCAGACCATTTTGCTTTTTAGGTATTTTTTGAATAGTGTCTTGGTTTATGTCTGGGCTGGACTGGACATAAATCCTTCTATTTATACTTACCATGTAGCTAGAATGACAGACAAGCACCAGGCCAAGCTTGGGTAAGCACCACCATGCCCAGCTTTTTATTGGTTGACATAGGGTCTTACTTACTTTTTGCCCAGGCTGGCCTCCCCACCTCTGCCTCCCTTGTAGCTAAGATTATAGGTGTCACTCACTGTGCCCAGCTACTGAGGGGTTTTTGAATTCAGGAATAGTCTCTGGTTAGTTTCTGTGCTCTTGGCACCTTTCAAGAGTTTGGCCTGAAGAAGAAGCTCAGTCAATATCTGAATGGACATATAGATGGAAGGGTGGACAGATGGGTGGAAAGATGGATAGACAGAGGGACAGATGGATGAGTGGGTGGGTGGGTGGGAGACAGATAGGTAGATGAACGGATGGGTAGATGAGTGAGTAGGTGGGTGGTAGCTGGATGGGCAGATGGGTGGCTTGATGGATGTGTAGTTGAATAAATGAATCTCGTGCTCAAGGTTTAGTTCAAGTCTGTCCTCTCCTGTGAAGCCAGCAAGACACAGTTAGGATTCATTCCATTGTCTTGGTTCAGATTATTCAGGTCAAAGGAGCACATTTGTCTTCATGTGCATAGGATTGTGAAGATGGGTTTGAGGGTCCACAGGGTTTTCAGAGGCCATCTGGCACCTTTGCATGACCTGCCAGAGTCCCTTCATGCCCCTCCCACCAAGTGACCCTGCAGCTCTGCTAGAGCTTGTCTTTGTGGAACTCTCTACCTCTACGGTGATCTGTTTTGTTTTAGGACACCTGAGGTTTTGGGGGGAGGGGGGAACTGAGTGCCCATGTGGGGGACAATATCCGATGGTCTGAATGCTCACCTGTGCCCTGCAGCTACTTGGGCTCTAGAGCTGTGATCCCAGGTCATGCTACTGAGGGACCGGAGGGTTCGGGAAAAAACAAGAGCAGGACTTTGAATTTCCTTCATGCCACCAACCAGCTCTGTGCCACTGGAAAAGCCATTGTCCTCTAGAGCCTCCAGGCCCACCCCCTGGATGGTTTGAAGGTTCCATGCAATAACACGGGCAGCGTGGGGTGTCTAGTGGGCACTCGATGAGGGCAGATATTGGTTTCTTCATCCACTGGAAGGTAACCAGATGCATCTGGGGTTCTTGGTTTAAACGGGGGTGAAGGTTCTGAGGGTTTAAATGTGTCCAAGAACACTGTTACCTGGAGCTACCATCACTTCTGGCTCCTAGACCCGCCTTGCTTGTCACTGTAGTCAATCAAACTCCCAAGGAAAAGAGATAAGAATGATGCTTGTCACTGTGACAATGACAGCAGCAGTTACATGACAGCTGGCACATGGTGCTTACTGTGAGCCAGGTGCTTCCCCGAGACTTGACTGAGTTAATGCTCACAGCAGGCATGGGAGGCACAACTGTGACATGCAGGTACCCAGGTTGAGTGAGATGCCTCAAATCCGTGTGCTGCTATCTGGTGAAGCCGGCACTGAAGCCCCTGCAGCCTGGTATGGGTTGTGCTCTAAGCCCCTGTCCTGTGCAGTAGTGAATGTATTCCTAGGATTAGCTTGATACTCCGCCCTACCTCAGAGAGCTCTGATGTCAGTCCCCGTTCTGTAATCCCTAAGGCCAAAGCAGGCTGTTTTGTCTGGTAAAGGAGGAGGCAGTTGTGGATGAAATGGAGTGGTGTGTGCCTGTTGTGCAGCCAAGAAACTCTGGGAAGAGGCAGTGGCATGGTTTTTGAAGCTCTCAAGATCCCAACCAAAAAACACTCAGAACAACTAGGTAAGAAAATGAAAAATCCATGGAACAACATTTGCTACTAAACAAGATGGCAGAGTGTCCCCAGTGAATCCCCAAATGCAAGTCAGGCTCCACGTGGCATTGTGGAGCCCCAAATAGCCCACAGGCACCCCGGGGAAGAACAGTGGGCCAGGGGCTGAGGGTATGGCTCAAGTGCTAAGCACTTCAAACATGAGGCCCTGTGAAAAAACAAACAAGCAGAAACAACAGCGGGTTAATTTGGGAACCACAGCTGAATTGGGCGGCATCTTGCTCACTCCAGTGACCAGAGTACGAGAGCCCAAGGTGGCGCTGGAGGGGAACGAAGCAGTATAGCCACCCTGGCTCCCTTTAAGGTCAGGGTCTCAGTCTAGGGAGAGCTGCTTGAAGTGGAATAGAAAATTGAGCTGGCA